CACACACACACACACACACACACACACACACACACACCTTCCATTGATTCTGTTCTTTTCTTTAGATTTATATCCTAACCCTGACCATTTATCCTTAAATTAACCTCACAGGTACCTGACCCTAAAACTAACCTAAACCTTGGACCTAAACCTAACCCCACACCTGTAATTTGCATTTGGACCTGTGGGGACCTCATGATCGTCTGTCCCCACGATGCTGCTTTTTTGGGGAAAATTTTCCCCACGTTGTAGGACAAACCCGTCCACACACACCCACAGTAAATATTTACAGGTCAGTGTGTCAGCGGGCACCGAGTGTACGTGAATCACTTGTCGTTTAATAATTGAACAACCCAATGAGAACCGTCTGACTCTTCTGGTGACCTTCGACCCCAGGTTGCCCAGCCACAGGCCGGAGCAGTAAAGCATGTGGAGCTCACGTACACAAACCATGCAGGTGTTTGTGTCCTCACCTCTCCCACAGAGTCTTTATTTGACTTTTTGTCCTCAGAGACTCAAATCTTTTAATGTTCTTCTTGTAACTGACGTTTGAAATAGTTTCTGTTTTTATAGAATTTGTGGTTTGATCACATAGAAAGCGTCCTTTGTCGTTTAATTTGATCATGTAGCCTAAGTTGTTTTTGGTTACAATCGCACACAGCTGAGCATCTCAGGGGGGAATCGTGAATCACAAACCCGATTGTAACACAACTGAAACTAAATATGGTGACAGTTTGATCCAACACAACTGCTCCATGAAGCACCCTGTACTTAAGCTTTAATTTCCTGTTTAATCCCTGATAAATGAAGCAGATGTGTCAGAACCTGGAGAAGGTTCTGCTTTCGTCAGAGAGGAGCCTGGTGACGCACGTTAAACCCAGCTGGAGTCAGGACAGTTTCCTCTGAGGGGCTGTCGCTTCACACAGAGGGTCCTTATGTTAGGCAGTGTGTGTGTGTGTGTGTGTGTGTGTGTGTTTTTGCTACATCGTGGGAACCATTTTCAAAAACAAAACGCAGCCTCGTTGGGACCAAATGCAGGTATGGAGGGTAATTTTGGTTGGGAGTTGGGTTTAGAACCAATGTGTGAATTGAGTTTAGGTAGATTTAGGGTCAGGTGGGTACCTGTGAGGTTCATTTTAGGGTAAATCAGGGCTCTGCTACCTTTACAATCAAAAGAGCCATTTCTGCTCCTTGGCTCACTAATAAAATGTGTCCGGAGCCACAAAACAAGCTACAACTGTGATTATCAACTGCTGGTCCGTGGGCCTTTTCAAGGACTTTTCAGAAACCTTTATGGCCAGTGGAGGTGACATTATAAAACTAAAGAATATATTGTCAATTAGATTATTATTATTTTTACACATTAGGACAAATGAAAAGACAGTAAACATGTAAACAAGAAAAATACTGTATGTAGTTTATACTGAATTTCATAAAAACTAGTACAACTGAAATATTCAGGTATATATTTCTCTAATTCTTATTATGTAGTCTTCAAATCCTTTAATGGTAATTCTAATGGATTCCAGAGAAAGAAATGGTATTATTTAAGTAAAAAACAGGCTTGTTGTTTGACTTTTTATAGTAGTATTAATCACGTATTTACATACAAATTAATTTCTTTTGTGAGTATAAAAACCAAAAAATTTATTCTGTTATGTTTGTTCACATTTTCAAAGAGCCACATGTGGCCCCAGAGCGGCAGGTTGCAGACCCCTGGGGTAAATGGTCAGGGGTAGGCTATAGAAATGACCAGAAAATGAATGGAAGTCAATGCA